ATGCATTGTAGGCTACTGGTTCAGGAAACAGTCCTCATCCTCCATAAAATGCGCAGCACACATCTGAATATTTGGGTTGAACTGTTCTGGAACTGTCTTGTAAATACAACTTAACCACTGATTTCTAGTTGTGTCCTCTTTTGGAAGGCCAAACAAAGTAGTTTCGCTTTCACAACGAAACACACAGCAACTCCACAACATGGCAGCGGCGGCAACAGCAATAATTAAAGTTACGCCTTCTTTTTTTGCGTGAACATTTGGGCGGCATTATGTAAATCTTCCCACATAGTGAAGTAGACATGTTAGAATGAGCCGTTTTAGGTAGGAGTGTTTGACTCTTAACTTTTATAAAGAATATCTCTTTGGATTTGAGACTTTAGTCTTTGCAACTTTACAGATCTTCTTTATGCACCAAGAGCTTGTAACACTTCAAAGAGAAAGGAAAAATTGAAATCGCATCATATGACCCCTTTAAAAATCATACATTATTCATGTGCTTTTTGTATTATACCATAAATTCTTCTAAAATGTGATGACCAAACAGCAAAAAATATCGCTAGTTTACAAAGCTCTGCAGGTGTTGAATTGTTTTTCAGCCAACACATTTCAGGATAATTTCTTTCTAACTAAATATCCTCTCTGTATGCTCCATTTCTAACCCACAAAACTTGGTCCCACTGAAATTTCCCATCTGCTTTTATAAAGTGACATAGTTTATGTTCCTATCACTAGATATTTGAGGACAGGCAGGGTTTTAGTAGAACAGGTCTGTCTGGGCCCCCAAAACCTCTTTTTGTCTGACCACTGAAGTGGAGAGAAGAAAAGATGGTGGTCTGGAGGGACCAGGCAGAAGAAGGTGTGAAAAAAAAGAGTGGAGAGGAGTGTGGGAGGCTACTGAGAGCCTCAACCCATTTCTGTCACTGCAGTTTAAGAAGGCCTGAGAGAAAATATTCAGCTCACTCAAATCTTTTACAGACAGGTCACACCACAGCAGCACAAAATTAAGTGGCACCCATGTGAGCAGAACAAGGGCACTGTTTGGCTTCATGTTTTGCAGTTCAATACAAGTAAGAATGTTGTCACACTGAGTTTCCTTTCTTTTCGATGTTAGTCAAAAGTCTCCCAGACAGGATCTAACCAGGTCTGCTCTGTTCCAACATGAGCTCCATTGAATTGAATCCACTGACTTTTAAAGACTAAGTCTAAAAAGACTACATATAGTGTGACTAGTCTAGTCCAATTCCTGATCTAATGACTTCTATGAGTCAGTTTTTCCACAGAGAATCAAAATTGTTCAGCACAACTGGTGTAGTTCCAGTTCTTCTCAGTGGATCAAAATCATGCAGCTCGACCAGTGTAGTTCAATTACTGAACAAATTATTTGGTTCTTCTCAGTGATTCCATTAGTCCAATTACAGAAAGACTGACACCTATGAGTCAGTTCATTTCAGTGAATCAAAATCATGCAGTGCGGCTGGGGTGGTCAGACTCCTCAAAGACTGACTCTCACCAGTCTGTTCTTGTTAGTGAATCAAAACCAATACAGCACAACCAGTGTAGTGCAATTACAGAACAAATGATTCTAATGAATCAGTTATTCTCTGTGAATCAAAACCATACAGCTCAGACAGTAGTTCAATTACAGAAAGATTGACTGAATGAAAAAAAAAAAAACTCTTATAAGCCAGCTCTTCCGTGTGAATCAAAGTGATAAAGCTCGGCCAGCATAGTCCAATTACATGACAAAACCTCTATTGGATACTGTAGTGAAAACCATATAATGCAACCAGTATTCTAGTCAGAGAAAGAATGACTCCTTTGAGTCAAAATTATACAGCAGGACCATTATATTCAGACTCCTGAACTAATAACTCCTGTAACTCTGTTCTTGTCAGTGAATCAAAATCATACAGCACAACCAGTGTAGACCAAAAAAATTAATCGGTACTTCTAAGGGAATCAAAACCATAGAGCACGACTGATGTAGTAGTACAATTCCCAAAATAATTACTTTTATGAGCCAACTTCTTTTTAGTTAACAAAAATCATACAGCACAACTGGCACAATCAAACTCCCAAAAGAATAAGTCCAATGAGCAAGCTTTTCTCAGTGGATCAAAATCATACAGCTAGACCAGTGTAGTCCAAAAACAGAACAAATTACTCTCGAGTTGAATCTGTTCTCGTCAGTGAATCAAGGGTTGGGTATTGTTTGAATTTTATCGATTCCGATTCCGATTCCTCTTATCGATTCCGATTCATTTCGATTCCCAGTTTCGATTCCAATGTGATTAAATAATGATATCAAACATTTATCCTGTCTCTTTTTTGCAAACCATTTATTGGAGCTGAATACCATGAACAAAAATCAACAGGCTACATTAAAACTCTTTAAGAGCTGTTTGTGTGCAAAATAGAACTACATGATTCTGGATAAATTGATTTTAATTTTTTTTTCCCCAATGGAAGTTATGGTTCTCTCGTGATGATTCTGGAGAAAACACATTAGACAACTAAACAAAATCACATGTAATTTATGAATGAATGATTCAATGACTCACTCAAGATGTAGCCTACTTGTTTCATTACTGGATGAGTCAGCGTTCTTCAACGAATCTCTTGTATGATTCAAAGACAAATACATTTTAACAGCCCCTTTTCGCCACCTACTGGCGTAACAATGTAATCGATAAATCTTAATTTGAAGTGTCAAATTACTTTCAAAAGGTGATTTACTCCATTTTAAGCGCTACCGTACACATCAGAGTTTATATCTGAACTACAAACTTTTATCCCAGTACTTCTGTGATTTAAATATATTTATAACACAGAAATAATGATACTGTGTGGTTGAAAAGACTGTGAAGCTGTTTCATTCATGACAGATGACAGCTGCTCTCTTTAGGTCAATGGCAGTGCGAACGCAGATTTAAATGTTCAAATCACTGGTGTGATCGTACGCCGCACGAACGAACCAAGTGATCACAACATTGATCGCACACGTCAAAGTTTGAGGAATGAAACAGACGAATCATTGTAATTTAGGAATAGAATCATGTTGGTGTTTGAATCGTGTTCGCGATCTTTAACGATCTATTAAATTGAAGTGCTCATCCGATTCTGGAATCGGAATCGATTTTCGATTCCCAACCCTAATCATACAGCACAACCAGTGTAGTCCAATTACATAACAAATTACTCTAATGAATCGGTATGTAGCATTTGGACCAATCAGACACACAACTATTTGTTATATTTAACAAATAATATCAAACGCCCCCTCACCTAACCAAAGGGCCAACTAAGAGGGTCTATGGACCCTTCCCCCGAAATGCAACTAACACCTTAAAAGGGCAGAACAGGTTAAAGGAATGTGGGCAGAGCAACTCTCCCTCCATGTCTCCTAAGGAAAGACAGATAATGCCCATAAAAATGGACTCTGATGTAGTCTAATTCCCAAAAGAATGACTTTTATGAGCCAGTTCTTTTTAGTGAACAAAAATCATAACAGCACAACTGGTGCAGTCAAACTCCCAAAAGAATAACTCCAGTGAGCCACCTTTTCTCAGTGGATCAAAATCAGACAGCTAGACCAGTGTAGTCCAAATACAGAACAAATGACTCTCGAGTTGAATCTGTTTTTGTCAGTGAATCAAAACCATATAGTGCAACCAGCAGTCTAACTACGGAAAAAAAGACTCCTATGAATCAGTTCTTCTCAGTGAATCAAAATCATACAGTGTAACCAGTGTGATCAGACTCCCAAACAAATGATTCTTAGGAACCATCAAAATCATGCAGCCTGACTGGATTAATTGGATTCTTGAATGAATGACTCATATGAACGAATAGGCCTAACTTGTATCCTTGACTAATTTTAACTTTCAGCTTAAGATAAATATTTCATATTTTGCCAGTAGTATTTTGAATGAAAATAAGTAGTATTATTCTATGAAATACATTACCACATTTTGTTTCTTTAATATTGTTGTACTAGCTAAGGCCAATTACTGAACTGTATTAATGTTATCACTAAAATAATGTAAATTTAACAGTTGTAAATTTACCTGTTATTGACATTACAATTGGGAAATACAATTTATTTTTATTTCTTAAAAGTACTAAAATAATCACAAATGGAACCGTTATACAACTGGAATAATTTCTCATGCCTAGCACACATGAACACACATGTATTTACACTCAAGTGGGCAGATCTGAAGCAAACCTGACCAATGGTGCTGAGGAAACATGGCACACACACTTGGCTCAGTTCCTGAGGGATGTAGGTACAGACAATTGATGGCTGCTCAGCCATTTCTTCATAAACTCTGTTATCTTCATGTTAACCTTCACCTCACTGAGCCAATGTCAAAAGCTGTCAGTGTCACCCTGTATTATTCCAACCCATGAAACTGCGGTTTCATCTGAGCCGACAGAGCTGGCCAGTCTTCACAGAACCGAATGGGCAAAATAATTGATTGTACTGCTGTTGACGTTTATAAGCCGCAGAGTGATCTCTGGAATTTTTCCAGAGTCCCAAAATATAAGGTACTCCATATGATCATCATATGAATGTGTTGAAATAAACAGAAGCAAAAAAGGGCCTCGGGATCCTTGTGTTTGTCTGTAGCTGACAGTCAAAATAATTACACTCTTTTTAGCAGGATGGATGTAACGGGTCAGCCTTTAATTTGCAAGCCAAATCAATTTTCTGACAAAAACATGCTGTTCGGAGAAACATGGATATTTTTTCTGATTAGTCACCTGCACTATTTACTCGCTTCCAAGAAAATATGATTACAAGAACACAGTGACATCGCACATTTTAATTACAATCCAAAAACGTGATGCACAGCCATTGTCTCTGGTTAAAACAGCACTCTTTGGAGAAACTATTCGCTCAACAAACCATACAAAACACAACAGCTCAGTTTGTTTCAGATAATCACCTGATTCCCACACCTGCACACAGATCGAAACAAAAAAAGGGCTCTTACCTTCCCCACATACTGGGCATCCGGCCCAATGTGCTCTTCCAAAACGAAGAACTGATTCCAGATCCAGCCTCGCTTGGGGCGGTAATGCGAGTCCTTGTCGCTGTCGGGCAGTTTGGTCTGGTTGTGGGTGAATGTGGGGCTGGGCGGTGAAGGGGTCCCATAGCTCCTCTGGAGCACACACAGGCACAGCAGCAGAGGGGACAGACAGGCAGGGCTGCTGGCTGCTCTCATGTTAAAGAGTCGGAACGTTTGAACTCCCGCTCTCGCTCACCCAGAGGTCTCTCTCTTGTGGTGGGCGGCTCTAGACGCCAATCGGACCAGTTCGCAGGGCTTGGCTGATGGCCATGGTTTAAAATCCTGTTGTCGCTGAGACCCGTCGGGCGGCACTCACATCGTGGGCCAAGAGCGAGACGTGTTGATTCGTTGGGGAGCCGGCATCCACTGGAGACTCACTGGAGGCAATGGCAGATATCCACGAAACATCTGTGTGAAAGAAAGAGGACAAACTGTACTTTCATGGGGGCGAAATGAAACGCAGCCAGCGATTACATTTTAATTCCACTGAAAATTTGGGATTAGCTGCTGCCCGTGAAGATCTAAGATATGAAAATTGGCCTAAAAGCCCATCGCGATCTTGCTGTTTGCCGTTCGGTGAAACATCTAATACATTTTTGATGGAACAGCTGTTCTAGTATAATAGCAAGTATCATGTCTGCTGGTGCAAGGGACGTGTAATGAGAGCTCCAGCATGGTGAGTCAATTCAATTGGCTGAACGGCATTCCGGGATCAATGCATGTCCCTGGTTACCTCGGCAAAGAAGCTGATAGCTCTCCACTCCTCTGCCTCCCTGTCAATTCAGATTTGTCACTTGTTGAGGAGAAGCTTCCTCATACTCTTCATTCCTCGACGGCATGAGGGTTACTGACATGGACAAGTGAAATACCTAGTGCTTTAGGGTTAGTCTTCCTCAAACCTAATAGAAATTGCGATGTCGGAATACTAAAAAAAGCAGAGAACAAATAAACAAACGACAGTGGAAACGCTGCAGGGTGGGCATTTCCTGTCACCTTAGCTACATCTGAACACTTCCTTTCCAAGACATGTTTAAAACAGTCACAGTAATGCTGAAGCCATGTCCCATAGGTCTAACATTACACGATTGGAATAAATATTTCATGGGGCCACACAAACTGACAGTGAGATATCTGAGAGACTCACTTTTGTTTGTAAGGGAAGATGGACTGTGTGGCATGTGAATGCAACTTTAATCTCTCAAGAACCTCACACTGTTTTTTGTTTGTTTGGTTTTTTATTTATTTATTTTTTTTTTTACGAAATTTTGCATAGAGTGTATTTGAAGGCAATATTCAGCATTTCAAGAGCTGCATTTGTTATGTGTATTCATTAGTGCACATAGGTCGATAATACAGTAGCCGAAATAGAATCCGTTGGAATTAATGAATGAATCTAAAACACTGCGATATGAGTCTGAATGCATTTCATTAAAAGTGCTTGTTGTTATATAATCTTAATGAAAGAGCCACTGATATACTAAATGACGAGGGAATAATTTTAGACCACTAACACAATAGAAAAGGCTTTCTAACTATTATTCTCTTCTCTACTATTGTTCTAGCTTGACTACAAGAGAATAAAAAACAGTTAGGTTAGGTTTAACAGTCAGCTAGGTTCTTCAAGACTGAAGAGGGAGTCAATGCATTGGTTTACAGAGCAAAACATCAGTTTCCATCAAAAGCAATTGCTGCAAACTTTACTGTTTCGCTAACTGTATTGTTATACAAACCAGAAAAAGAGTCTGGTTAGATTTACTTTATAATGCATCATGACATGTTACTGTGGAAACTGTGGTGCATATCAGAAAACAATTTCACAAATGCCATGACATGTTGAATACTTATTTCTAAGAGCAAAATATTTCAAACAATTTTCATTGTCTGTCTTATTCATGCATGGCACACAAAAGTCTTTTTCAGTCGCTTTCTTTGTCTTGCTGGCAACAGATGGCCTACTCTTGAGCTATTTATGAATATTACTTTATGAAAATTAATGAACTTAATTTTGAGACTGGGTAAAGAAGAAGAATTGAGAATTTAAGTGAGAAGCTATTCTTTCAGCCTACAATAGCATATGCCAGTTCAACTTATGATATAACATGAAAGATGAAAAAAAAAAAAATACTGAATGAGTGTGCATACAGATGGGTGAATGAATGGGGAGAACAAGAAAACCACATTCCACAGTGTTTTAGTATCCGAAATTCAATGACCAGGCCACTATTCTGACTATTTAACTCACTAGCTATAGTTCATAAACCAAGTAAAGGGATGATTAAATAACCATGGTATTAATAAAATCTCTTTGATTGTGAAACTTTTTAAGTTTGAAATATTACTTTTTGCTCTCTATAAGCATCAGTGTACTGGTGCTATGAACCCAGAAACCACTGTACTAATCTGAAGTGGAAGTAATGGGCACTGATGACAATGCCGCAATAAATTCAATAAACAAGAAGTTAATACTGAGTAACTTAGATTTCAGACACAATTGCCAGTTACTTTATCCGTTTTTGTTCCGCAAAAGAAAATAGACAACAATCGATTGTTGCAGTTTTCTGAGCAATACACAGCAGTGATATTTCATTCTCCAATGAATCGATTGAGTAAATGATTCAAAGACTCACTTATTTAATTCCCGAATGAATCAATGTTTTTGAACAAATCAGTTAGAGAATGCTTTAATGACTCACTCATAAAGACAGGCAATTGTTCATTTACTGTATGTACTGTACTGTTAGGCCAATGTTTCGAGGCCAAAAAGACTCACTTATTTCATTACTGAATGAATAAGTGTTTCTAAACAAATTGGTTAAAGAATCACTCACTTTTAAAGATCGTTTTTGAATGAGTCATTTAAGTAATTTCAAAGGCTAACTCACCTTTTGTTCCTGAATAAATCAGTGTTTTTGAACAAATCAGTTAAATAATTTATAAATCACTCATAAAGACTTGTTAATTTATGAGGGAATCATGAGTTTTTTTTTTTTTTTTTTTAATGAATTGATTGAGTGGATGATTCAGAATCAATGACAAGTAAGTCAAACACAGTCACTTGCCACCTACTGGTGTAACAATGTAACTTGCAAAAAGAGTACTTGGAAAAATCCCACTTAAAGACTGTCAAATTTGAGAACTGGAGCTATAACCATTAAAAAATATAAAATAATAAAATCAAATAAAAATACACCATCAAAGTTGCTCACATTAAAAACAGTTCAGACTTTGCATTTTGACATAAATGATTATGATAAGCACATGACTCAAAATAAACATCTCTAAATACAGCATCTCACATCAGTGAATCTGGATTCATCTGTGTGATGAAACGTAACTAATGTGAACCTGCCTGACTGAACTCACCAGGCTTGATGCAACTCTGAGCACCAGTCTGATGAGAATTACCAGACTATTGGCCTCAGGCCACTGGACAGTGAGTTCGTCACAATGGAGTAGATTGTATTTTGAGAATATTTTCGACAAGAAATCTCAGCATGCTTGACACCTTGTAACTTGAATAGAGGGAGCAGGAGGGTAAATATTATATTGGACACTACTGTCTCAAAATGAAGTAGAAAAACTCAATGTACGAGTCCCAGTTTCATCAATGTATGCTAATTACACAAATTAATTTCTAATTATGTAAATTAGTTTTTTTAATGCATTTTGTATTCCTTAAAAATAACCATGTTAGCCTATTGTGCAACTAAAAACAAACATATTTTAAAAGGGAAAAATATATATAAATGTGATAGCTTTTTACTGGCTGAATATGAAAGAAAAAGAGCAAAAAAATACTTTTTTTTCAGATTATGCTGAATAAAAGCAGAAGCCTGAGTCTAGTTCCGAGAGGAAATGAATATGCTACTGTAGCTTCTCATTCAGAATAATGTCTATCTGCTCAATCAGAAACGCAATTTATTTACGGAGTCTTGCTGAAGATTTTTCAAGAGGAGGAGGGAGGGCAAAGCCTCTACTCGCTCTTTCTCGCTCACTCGCTCTTTCAAGCTTATTGTGTTGCCTTGAATAGAAATTGCTTTTTGAGTGCATTTTGACTAATACTGGGCGACAGCTCCGTTTCTTTCATGCTGTTCCAATGGTTTATGTTAAAACAGACAGTTGTCAAAGTTTTCAATCGCTGAACCCTTATCTTCACAATTTGCCATCCAAAATGCATCTGTCCACGATGTTAGACGTCCAGACCAATTTTCCAAATGCGACCAGTTTTATATAATAAAATAAAATAAAATAAATTTGTGGATTTGTGCAGAATAAAGAAAGAATCAACTCATTAGTTAAGTGAATTGAGCACAGATTCAAGAATAAGCATCTTAAGCAAGAGAAAAGAGTGTTACACATGTAAATAAAACACAGTTCCATCGACACCTGAAACCACAGCAGGCCAGGAGGCAGCAATATCTCACGTGCCCTTGTTCTGCACTTCAAGAGCAAAAGGGTCTCGACTGATTCACGCAGGTTTCTCGAGGTCTTCAAAACAAATTTGTAATACTGATTAGAATCCAGTGCAGCTAATTAGGATGCTAATTGGAATGGAGTGAGGCTCGGATGGAACAGTGGCTGAGAGGCGTCTTTTCACAATGACATTTTTCCATGTTTGTTCCTGTCGGCTCTCTACCCCACTCATTGCTTGAATTAATCTTTTTATGCATGCAAAAAGAAACATTAGTGATGGAATATTCATGTAAATTGAATCTAGGAGTCATTCTGTATTGTGAGCTAATGTTTAAGGAATATTTCCAGTGTTCAGTGCAAGTTAAACTCAATCGCAAAAAAAAAAGCAAAAATTCGGGTCACAATGAGGAACTTACAATGGAAATCAATAGTTAAATATTAAAATACTCAATGCTAGTCAACACTATACATTATATTAGAGTGATGTTCACTTACTAACGTTTGTCTGTGTAAAGTTATATCCAAATTCACAATTTTACTGCCATGGCGACATAATGTCTAAAACCCTAAAATGATCATAAAAATTAGAACAATTTTACAGCTTAATAATTCACAAGTTTTGGGCGCTTTTATGAAATTATAAGTTTCACATTTCCAAAATTGGCCCCATTCACCCCCTAATAAGTGCCCCACAGAAACAGTTTTTTCACTTTTCTTTAAGAAAACAAGGCACATGTCGAAATTGTTTTTTTGGTACCACTGAAAATTCTACCACAAGTGCTGTCGATTGAGCTTAAATTGACTAAACCCAGAACATTCCTTCAATGTTAAAGTCGGCTCATGCATCAGAGACAACCTTCGAGACACGAAGCAGTAAAATTTCCCCAGTGCAGTTGATTCAGCCAACTTTATTCAATTTAATATTTTTTCCCTCTACTTCTCATGTCTTATTCACTTCACAGCACAAAATTGCAGATCTTTTTATAGAACTGTAGTGGTTTTGTAACCTCAAAGCTCTCCCTACCGTTTGCACTCAATCCAGTGGCATGAGGAGAAGGTGATGCTGAGACTGATTGCCTGCTACAGGATTAGAAATATCGGGGGAGGGACTCCAGGGATCCGTTGATGTGCGTTTGTCACCTTGGCATGTCCACTGCATGGAGGCAATAGCTCAAGCACAACACAACTTCCCCATGCATCAAATACAGGCTGGTCTAATCACTTAATCATTGTCAGACAGCCCTCAGTCTCTGATTGTTAGGCATTCTCAATTTACTCTGAATGCATGAATGCTTTCCTAAGAATGATGAAGGATGCATATACACACATATACATACATTACACACACATGTATATCATATATATATATATATATATATATATCTTTTATAAATAACAAATTTCAAGCATTTTCGCATGTGAAAGAATATAAGTTAAAAGAAGAAGAAAGAAAGCTTGCAGTTCATTTTTCTCAAGGCAATCAATAAGCACTAAATAATCAGCAACAAGGGCTTTCAACAGCTGCACTTGCTGTGCTGTTTGTTCATTGGAAAGTGAGACAGAGCTTTGAAGAATCGCATGCGGCCACAATAAAGTGCTGGAGTAAGGAAAGAGGCACAGATCAATGGACAGACACTGCCTTCCTTCCCTCATCCTGCTTCTCTGTTTCGTCTACGACCACATTTACACTAGACCAACTCTCAGACTGTCTCTGAATGCTGCCTCACCACAAGCCAGACAAACAGAGGCAGCACTCAAGCTTCAATCAGCAGATGAGTAAAGAGAAAAAAACTAAAAAAACAGAGTGTGCCTCTTACCTTCTCAGTCTTTCCTTAAAAGATGACAATTCTTTGGAATACGATGGAGGGCTCCCAATGTTCCTCTACATTTTTTAAGTCACACAGAGAGTATGTGTGCAGCAGCTCAATCCAGTCCAGAACAGAACCGCTAGAGCTCCCAAATCTGCCAGCCTGCTGCAGCTCAGGAGGCGCGTTCTGATTGGCCGGCTACACACGCTGTCATATCCACACACACAGAGAAAGTCAGCTCTGCTTTTTTCCCTCTCACATTTTCTATCTGTTCGCTCGCTCGCTCTCTTTCTCTCGTTTTACATCTCTGACTCTACCTCGCTCATTTTATCTTTTAGTCTCTTTCTCTCTCCCCTTCCATCTGCAGCCAGGAGAGGCACACATGTTCTCAACGGTGAGCAGTGCAGGCAGTGTTTGGTTTAAGGCAATAATGTGGCTCCAGAAGGAAACCTAATTAATAATATAGAGGGAGTGTGGGGGAAGCAAGAAGGACGTGAAGCCTGTGTATGCGGATCCCCTCAAGACTGAAGGCCATTTTTTCTTTTTTTTCTTTTCCAGAAGGAAGGCTACTCTGTCAGCTTATAACATAACAGAGGGCATTAGGAACAGGGCGGTAGCTCTGTGGAAAGGTAAAATGAAAATGTGATAAAACAAAGGCCTTGAGGGAAAAGAAGGAGCTTTATGTACCGCAACTTCGAGTCATCAAACTCTCAGCTTGCTCTCGGAGGCCATCCATCATTTACCTCCAGGTCTCCCCCTTTCCTTTCAGCCTCAGCACAGGTTGATGATTTATCTTTTCGACTCCATTTATTTATTTACATTCCCTCCACCCCTTTCTCGGCTCCGTTGGTGTCCTTGCAGGTGGGCTTGAGAATGGCTTATGTAAAATGATACTGCACTAAGATTATGATGTTAAATGCTGTCATAAAAATATGCAATAAAATATATCATATATAAAAATAAAATAATATATTGATGCCAATTTTTAAATGATAAAAATCACAATTGTACAAAGTACACAAATATAATATAATATAATATAATATAATATAATATAATATAATATAATATAATATAATATAATATAATATAATGCACATTTTTCTCCTTTATCTGAGCAGCTTTGCAGTCTGGTTATAAAATACTTTTTTTTTTTTGTTTTTGCAAAAACAGAACTATTATACTGAAGCACCAGCTAAGCATGACATAGCTAAAGCTGTATCAAAATTATAAAACAATTAATGACCAGGTGTCAAGTTAATGCTACGATAAACAGATTTGCAAGATCATTTAGCAAAAAAGTACTGAAATCGAATGGCTTGTTGCTTAGGAAACACAACTCTGTTAGGCTATTGACTTTTGTAAGTGTTATAAAGTAATAATGAAACAAAACACATCACCTTGACTGTACAACAGCTGATTAACTATTAGAAACATTACTGATGCTGTTTGTGAAGCCATGCTTAAGACAGCAAATGGGAGTTTGGATATTGAATAGACCAGATCATTGCTTAGCAAATTGTGGGAAAAAATAGATTATGCACTTGGATGAATCTTATGTCAAATTCTTAGGTGGAGCTTAAGCATGCAGTGAGTGTCAAGAGTGGTGATACATGACCACATTCACTCAAAGATTTGAAATAGATTCCCATTTTCTTCTTTCCTTTTTTCATTATTCATTCCTCTTTTCTTGCTATCATTATGATAATACCATGTAATCATTGCCTTAATCGTGTTCAATTATTTATGCTTGAATACATGTTATTAACTAACTGGAGGATTTCTGCCATATGGACATCACCTCTGACAAATGATTTTTAACTGCAATGTAGAAACATTCATCTCCTCTAAAGCTGCTTTAAAACAATATGTATTGTGAAAAGTGCTATACAAATAAACATGAACTAAATTGAAGTGAAGTGAATACAAATTTATATTCACAGAAACCAAATGTTGAGACGTAATTCATATGAAAAGTATTTAAGTCTTTTTTTAATATTTACGAATTTCAGTTGTAAAACAATTGACAAAAGCAAAACGACAAAGCTGAATTCCCATTTGTGTAAACTTTAGCTAAATAATGCAGACAATATAAATTCAAAGTAAATGTGAAGTTTTATCATTAAAATTAATTGAAAAATGACTTTTAAAACTAATTAAACACAATTCATAAGTTTTAAACAGTGCAGTTTGGTAAATGGTAAAGAAATCACATTTTAATTGGCATGAATTAATCAAATTTACTTAATATAATTATATTTAAATAAATCTAATTTAAAACATTTGTGTAGAAAATTATTTCCCAGCCATTTAATTTTTGGGGTGAGAAAGAAAACAAAGACCAATATATCCAAAAACACAACATTTTATGCTGAAAGGATCCTTGAACCAAAAAATAAACTTAAACTTGCGGTGAACCCTATGGTTTAGAAAAAAGAGGACTAGTGAAAAAGTAAAGGACTGAATTTTCACAACTGAGATACCTGTTGACTGGATTTGAGAGCAAAGACGCCTGCAAGAGGATTATGATCTTCAAAATATAGCATCTGAATTCACTGTGCAAATGGCACCAAGCGCAGGCTACATTCCAACGAGAAAGGCTCTGATTTTACGCTTCTGCTTACATAATATGATATAAACATCTGCCCTACTGTCCTTCTCTAAAAATGCTGAAGATTATTCCAGTTCCAATGCCAACAACCAGATAGAGACAGATAGAGAGAGAGAGAGAGAGAGAGAGAGAGAGAGAGAGAGAGAGAGAGCGCGAGAGAGATAGAGATAGAGAGAGATGTTTTTCAATGAATATGACATACAACATGAAAACAACTTACTGCTAACAAAGGTATATCTTTTGTCATGAAGGTTCGGGTGGCTCCTCATTTTCAAGACTGATGGACTGCCTCTTTTTCCATTATTCTTGAAAAAATTATCTGTGGTCTCTAGACTGGATTTATTCATTCATCCTGAGATTAGACTTAATGAAAAAGACCATCAGGATTTCAATTACATCCTTTGCTCCTTTTTATCTATTCAAACATCCAGACACACAACAGGATGTATAATTTTGGGGTGACCAACTATGAGTAATAATTGTGTCAGAGTGATAATGACAGTAAAGGTAAATGCATTATGGGTAAGTCTAGTGACCTGATACTATTCTAGGAGCTGATTTAAAGGACACTGAAGACCATTTATTTTTGAGTTCTCAGGTGGGAATGAACTCTGTCTGAAAGCTGTAACAGCATTTGACCCCTTCCTCCCTCTGACATTTTCTCAAAGCGGACACTTTTGCACTTATTTGGTAATGTCAACAAAATAACAAATAACAAATAAAAAGAGAAAAAGCATAAAAAAGCAAACATATGGATGGACTTGTCACTGTATGAGTTACATACATTAAATCCATTAAACAGGTACCTGGTTAACGAACCGTGCTGTAAAGACAGAAGTGAGAACCCATTAGTTCCATAGCAGATTAAGCACTTAGTCAGTTCATTCATACTTTATGGATGAATAGTTTACTTCTTGTTTTTTTTTTTTTATTTTGGCTTGGTAGACTCTTTGTCAAAATAATAATAATAATAATAATAACTGTTGTATTTATTATTATTATTATGTCTTTCTGTTCCTAATTTATTGCGTTTTCAGGCTGATAAGCAAAAGTTTGAAACCTTGAATGAGAATCACAGAAAAAATTCTGTAAATGGACATCACTTCCATTTTGCACAGCCTCATCTTTGTGGCGGTTAGATTCTTGACTCAAGTTCAATCTCAGTCTGTTGTGAATGAATTTTCACCAGAGTCGTCTAGCTTCTAATTATTATATTTTTTCCCCCCATTACAGAGCTAGTGTGAGATAGTGCCACCAACAGCCCATAAATCACTTGACATCAGTCGTTGAGGTTAGACCTTCCAGTGTATAATCTAATCTTCCACAGACACTGAGCAAATCTCCATTTTGGTAATGGTTACACCTGCACACAAGAAAACTCACGTATGACTAATCACAGGTCTTCACTGCAGAATAAAATCTTAACATTTAGGATTCTACCAAATACTTGCTAACAAGTGATGTTTTATTAACAAATTTCGGGAGGAGCATGCGCAGATAATCAACTCGGCCAATTCACTATCAGTAATTACATAATCTATCCAACCACCACGAGAGAGAACCACTATAAATAATCATTGCAGCCTTACCTTCATTCTCTCTAGTCTTTCAGCATCCCTCCACCAACCTCACTCCTCACCGTTGACCCATTCCTACCGGGGGAGTGATCTGTGTTCGGGCAAATACCAAGCTCTGAGCCCTCTCCCCGGACAGGGGGGGAGTGCCCTGGGTTCGGGAAGAATTACCGAGCTCGGAGCCCTCTCCCCGGACTGCACGCCAAATACGCATACTATTCTTCTTGCTTTATTATCTGCAAGGCGAACTCGTGAAATATAATACATGTGCATGGAATTACATTATAACTGACAATGTTAGCAGTCCGTGGCCTGTGATGATAAATACATTTGGCTGCATGATCGGAGCATGTTTTAGGCTTAATATAAAGGGATCTGACATCCCAATATTTTCAGAGCGAAGTTAAACCAGACCCTCCAGCCATAGCAATGACTTAAAATGAGCAGATTTGACAGGAGCCCATTATCCAATCTCTTAATCTGGCATCTGTGTTACACAGTGTCAGAGAGCATTTATACCTGAAGCAAATCAAAATTTTTAAAACTAAACTTGTTTTCATCCAGTACAAAGTCAGTGGCAGGACTGTTCTAATAAGAAAAGTATAATTGCTACAGTAATTACATTTCTTGCATTATGGGTGGAAATTTTGGTTCACACTTTATAATAAGGTCCTATTAGTTAACATTATTTAAATGCATAAACAAATAGTGAGCAATAAATTTGCTGTAGCATTTATTAATCTTTGCTCATGTTAATGACATTACAGCTGTTCGTGTTAGTTAACATTAGATTCATCGAATAATATTAACAGATAAACTACAACTTTTGATTTGAATACAGTATTAGTAAATGTTTTTGTGAACAAATGGAACCTTAGTGTTATCAAAGTTTTTCAATGTGAAAAATGTGAAATGTGAGAAAAAAAAAAATCA